GGCGCAGTCCTAGCGGGGTACGACCTGTCTCGCTAAGCAGGGACGGGTCTGGGGAGGGCCAGGTGAGAGAATCCAGGCTTCCTGCCAGGTCAGAGCGGGCCAAGGTGGCCCTGTGGGACGCTGGGCTGCAGGGAGCCCTGGGCTCCGAACGAGGCTGGAGCTGGTTTCCCAGGGCCCGGACTGACCGGCTCTTCCTTGGCAGGGCGTGGAGTTCTTTGACGAGAAGCTGAACTCCCTGTCCATGGCGTGGCTGGTGGATCACGGTGAGTGGCTCAGGGCGCCTGGGTTTAAGCAGGAACGGAGCCGTGGGGGGCTGCAGGATGGAGCCGTCCCAAGTGACCAGCGGGCAGAGCTGCTCCCTACTATGCGTGGAGGCCTGGGTTCTGTGGCTGGCTGTGACCCCGTGTGGGTCTGTGCTTAGAAATCGGGGCTCCGACTCCTCCCTTTAGACTGTGCTCTTCAGGGCTAGGCCTGCCTCGCTGACTGCAGCGCCTGGCCGAATGGGCCCTGACCCCGGCTGGACAGGGCCTGGCACTACAGAGGCTGGCTCCTACTCTAATACAAGCCATTTAGCTGTAACTGATTGCCAGTGATCACCCTTTGGCCTGTCTCTGTGCTTAGAAATCGGGGCTCCGACTCCTCCCTTTAGACTGTGCTCTTCAGGGCTAGGCCTGCCTCGCTGACTGCAGCGCCTGGCCGAATGGGCCCTGACCCCGGCTGGACAGGGCCTGGCACTACAGAGGCTGGCTCCTACTCTAATACAAGCCATTTAGCTGTAACTGATTGCCAGTGATCACCCTTTGGCCTGTCCAAGCAGAAGGGCTCCCAGATCCTCCGCTTGGGGCTTTATGGCCCCTTCCAATTGGTCCTCGTTGTCATGGCCAGGACGATCTAGATCCCTTCTCCCAGGGCATCCGGTTCACAAGAAGCTGGTCAGTTTCAGGGCAGCTTTGCAATTGACTAGCCTCTTCAGCTCTGTGTCTGGCTCAGTGCTGTGGGCCCCAAACCTTGTCTGTTTGTCTGCCGCTGTGCTGGAGAGGGGGCCAGTTTGTGGGGGAAAATGCTCCTGGAAGGTGTGACTGGGGGCAGGGGTGAGGATTCCCCCCCACAGCGGGTGGGAAAGAGGGCTAGAGAGTAGCATTAGACCTGCCTTTGCTTTTCCGGAGCAGGGTTGGAAATGGGGGGGCACCCCCTTGTGGGTGTGGCATTACATAGGACTTTGCCGCGCTCCCCTCTCGCCTCCCCAGCCCTGTTTCCCCCAGGTGGGTGGTTAATGCGCCCATGTTTCCCACTCCCGGGGAGGCGGAGGGCTTAGAGGCAAAGCCAATGGGGGCCTGGAGCATCTGCGGGGCGCCAGTCTTGATGAGCAAAGGGCGTTTCAGTCTAGCCCGGTGGCCTGGTGGGTCTGCCGCCCGCGTCGTAGATTTCCCAGGGGCTCTGCGCCTGCATTTGAAACTCGTCGGGGCTCCACACGCACCCCAAGGTTGCAGAGCGCTGGGCCAGCAGGCAGAGGGAGCAGCAGGCAGAGTCCCAGCCTCCCTCCAGTGGCCGGGCTCAGTCCAGGGGGAGCTGGAGGACATGGAACAGCCTGTGCTGAGCCGAGGCCGCGCTGGGGATCTAATTGGACCCTTCTGGATGCCGACGGTGTAAATTGCTCAGCTCTTGTTGAAATGAGCAGCCAGTTCCAAGCCCTCTTGGCCGCAAACCCGACCCCTGGGGCTGGTGGGGATTTTTAATAGTGTCTGATGGGCTATTATGGACAATCAGCAAGTCACCGCGGCAGTAGGCACCTGCGTGTTAATTCCCAAAAGCATCAGGGCAAAATCCTGACCCGCACTGTGTGTTCCTCCAGTGCTTTGTGGGGCGCCCGACGAGCACCGCTGAGAACGGGCCCTTTGGGGGAGCAAAGCCCTGAGGGGACTGACCGGGATCTCTCTAAAGGGGCTGGGGAGGGGCAGGAGTCTCTGAAGGCTCAGAATCCGGAGGGTGACAGCACCTGGCCCAGCTCCCAGGGTGGAGAGTGGGGGGGTCAGTCAGGGCTGGCACGGAGCCCCGGTGACCCCGGCGATGTGTTTTCTCCCCCTCCCCAGTCTACGCCATCCGGGAGGCAGCCACCAGCAACCTGAAGAAACTGGTGGAGAAATTCGGCAAAGATTGGGCCCATGCCACCATCATCCCCAAAGTGCTGGCCATGTCCAACGACCCCAACTACCTGCACCGCATGACCACGCTCTTCTGCATCAACGTGAGTGGGCCTGGGCTCTGCCGTGGCTCTGGGCGTGGCGGGGGCGTAGGGGTGGGGGCAGTGGGGGCTGGGCTCTGCCGTGGCTCTGGGCGTGGCGGGGGCGTAGGGGTGGGGGCAGTGGGGGCTGGGCTCTGCCGTGGCTCTGGGCGTGGCGGGGGCGTAGGGGTGGGGGCAGTGGGGGCTGGGCTCTGCCGTGGCTCTGGGCGTGGCGGGGGCGTAGGGGTGGGGGCAGTGGGGGCTGGGCTCTGCCGTGGCTCTGGGCGTGGCGGGGGCGTAGGGGTGGGGGCAGTGGGGGCTGGGCTCTGCCGTGGCTCTGGGCGTGGCGGGGGCGTAGGGGTGGGGGCAGTGGGGGCTGGGCTCTGCCGTGGCTCTGGGCGTGGCGGGGGCGTAGGGGTGGGGGCAGTGGGGGCTGGGCTCTGCCGTGGCTCTGGGCGTGGCGGGGGCGTAGGGGTGGGGGCAGTGGGGGCTGGGCTCTGCCGTGGCTCTGGGCGTGGCGGGGGCGTAGGGGTGGGGGCAGTGGGGGCTGGGCTCTGCCGTGGCTCTGGGCGTGGCGGGGGCGTAGGGGTGGGGGCAGTGGGGGCTGGGCTCTGCCGTGGCTCTGGGCGTGGCGGGGGCGTAGGGGTGGGGGCAGTGGGGGCTGGGCTCTGCCGTGGCTCTGGGCGGGGCGGGGCCACAGGGGTGGGAGCTGGGAGCCAGGACGCCTGGGTCCTGATTTGCGCCGTGGGCTCAGGTTCAGTGCCGGCGTAACGTCCCCTCCCCTCCTCCCCCAGGTGCTTTCGGAGGTGTGCGGGCAGGAGATCACCACCAAGCACATGCTGCCCACTGTGCTGCGCATGGCGGGCGACGCCGTGGCCAACGTCCGCTTCAACGTGGCCAAGTCCCTGCAGAAAATAGGACCAATCCTGGACAACAGGTACTGCCAAGGGGCGGGGCTGAGCTTGGGAGGAGGCTGGAGTCCTGGGGGAGGGGCAGAGGGAGGTGGGGCTCCCAGTTGCAGCTGTCCCCACTGAGCAGCTATGAAGGGGGGGAGAAGGGGTTCCCTGGGCCAGGGCTCCAGTCTCTTCTGCTCCTGCCCCCTTCGTGGGTCCTGCTAACCCCCTGCCCCCCGCAGCACCCTGCAGAACGAGGTGAAGCCGGTGCTGGAGAAGCTCACGCAGGACCAGGACGTTGACGTCAAATACTTCGCACAGGAGGCCCTGACTGGTACGGGGAGAGGCTGGGACGGGGGTGGGGGCTCCCTGCTGGGGGGGCCGGTCTGGGGTGGGGGCGGTAGCTGAGGTCTGGAGCGATTCTCTCCCCCAGCTGTGGGGGGACTCACGTCTGCTGGGTGGGTGATGCTGTTCGGGGGTGTCTCGGTCAAAGGCCCCCTCTGCTGTGCACGGTGGGGTGACCAGAGCAGGGGAGACCCCAAGGGGTCAGAGTTCAAAGGGGAGGTTCTGGATGCTCTCTCCTCCCACCAGTGTCTGCCCCCCACTGAGTGGGCTCTGCCCCCCCATGGCAGGCAAGTCCAGGGCTGTGTTGGGGGAGGGGGCTTCTGGGCTCCCCAGGGGCTGCTTTGCCCCCCCCCCCCCCC